TGTGTACTGAGCAGACTCAGCAAGTGATGGAACCACGGCAGGCTATAGGTACGTGTAGTTTTTATTTATTTATTTATTTAGACAGGCAGAGTTAGACAGTGAGAGAGAGAGAGAGAGAAAGGTCTTCCTTCCATTGGTTCACCCCCCAAATGGCTGTTATGGCCGGCGCGCTGCTGCGTCGATCCAAAGCCAGGTGTCAGGCGCTTCCTCCTAGTCTCCCATGAGGGTGCACTGCCTTCCCGGGCCACAGCAGAGAGCTGGATTGGAAGAGGAGCAACCGGGACAGAATCCAGCGCCCTAACCTGGACTAGAACCCCGGGGTGCCAGCGCCGCAGGCGGATTAGCCAAGAGATCCGCGGCGCCGGTCGGTACATGTAGTTTTAAAATGACACTGAAGGAAGTCATAAGTGTGGTTGCATGCTACTGGTTTTAGATTCCAAATGATTGACTGCCTGAGCAATTTTTGTATTTAGAAAATGAAGGCTTAAGTTAAAAGCCTCCGGCCAGAGAGAACCTGAGAGCTTGCACAGAGCGGCTTAGGGAAGTGCCTAGGAGTGATGTATTGCCATAGCTGTTCTCTCGGGGCAAGCATGAGATCACGTGTGTGACTTCCTGTAATGTGCGGTTGCAGCGATGCTGTCACATCTCATTTTTGTTTTAGCTGACCTGGGCTCCGCACACCCCTTGGCTAACGCCTCACAGAGTTACCAGGCTTGGGGAGCCACGCGCTGGCTCTGTGAGGCTCCCTGCCTCCCTCTGCTCCAACGTGCTTCCGGCCAGGATCCGCTGCTCAGCTCCATGCACCGCGCCGGCTCCTATTGCTCTGCCCTGAGTCTCGCTGCTCTCTTGCTTTAACATGCGCTCTTCTCGTTACAGGGCTTTGTTCTCCCCAACTGACCTTCAAGCGAAGTGGCGTGGGGGCAGAGGCTGTGTCTCTGAGTGGAGGTTATGGGATTGCACAGGGCTTAGCTCTGTGCAGGTGTGTGGCAGCCAGCTGGGGAAGAGGCTGTGGGACGGGAGAGGACTCGCTCTTTGGGGTCCTTGTGCAGTGGCAGTGGCAGAGGGAACCTGGCTGGCTGGGGTCCATAACTTCCTCAGCCTTGGTGCCGCATACAGAATTATCAGGTAAGCAACCACGGACAGAGCAGTTGACTCATTCTTTTCAACTGGCAGAGGTGGGAAGACAGAGATCTGTGAAAGCAGTGTGGTTGGCAGGAGGAGAGGAAGGAAGACCCTGCTTCGCTGAGCACAGGTCTGGGTTTTCGGCTCTATTCTAAAATCTCCCTCAGGCTTCACAATAATAGAGAAGTGAATCTTCTCCCACCACTTCCTGTTGCCGCCTTATAAGAGGTTTCACTTCTCTTTTGACTGCCAGGGCAGAAAGATGCAAGAGGGAACCCTAACCGCCGGTGCTGGCACAGGACCGCAGCAGCCCCCTGCCAGGCCCAGGCTGTGCCGGCATTGAGAAAGGGCCCCAAGGCCTGGCTCCAGCAGCTTAGGATCGCTGCATGCCCAGGCAGGCGGGGAGGAATGTGAGGGGAAGTGTGTGTGTGTGTGTGTGTGCGCTGCTGTGGTTCTGGGGAACCGAGAAGTCACAGGTTTAGAAGCTGTCCAAACAGAAAGTGGAAGAGACAGAGTCTAAGAGAGGAAGGAACTTTCAGAACAGCAAAGATGAATCTAGGATGGATTGGGTGGTAGATTGTGGCCTTTCTGTTTCTCTTCTTTTTAATAGAAACCTCACTAACTGGGTTCTCTCAGTCTCAAGATGTAGAATGTAGTGTGTGTGTGTACGCTGTAGCATGTGTATGTGTGTGTGTGTGTGTGTGTGCACTGTAGCATGTGTGTATGGGGGCACACTGTAGCATGTGGTGTGTGTGTGTGTGTGTGTGTAGTTGTATAAGAAAAAGGGTTAAGGCCTCTGGACCTTGCGTGTGAATCTTTCGACCTCTTTTCTTTTTAAGGTTGATTGATTTGGGCCGGTGCTGTGGCGTAGCAGGTGAAGCCACCAATTATGACACCAGTGTACCACATGGGTGCTGGTTTGAGTCCCAGCTGCTTCACCTCTGATCCAGATCCCTGCTAACGTGCCTGGGAAGTCAGTAGAAAATGACCTAAGTCCTTGGGCCCCTGATACCCACGTGGGAGACCTGGATAGACCTCCTGGCTCCTGGCTTCAGACCCACTTGACTCTGGCCACTGCAGACATCTGGGGAGTAAACCAGCAGATGGAGGATCTCTCTCTCTCTCTCTGTTAACTGTGCCTTTCAAATCAATCAATAAATCAATCAATCTTTCTTTCTTAAAAGAGAGAGCTCTTCCATCCACTGGTTCACTCCACAGATGGAAGCAATGAAGCCAAGAACATGGAACTCCATCCAGTATCTCACATGGGTGTAGAGGCCCAAGCACTTGGGCCATTTTCTGCTGCTTTCCAAGGTTGCATTAGCAGCGAGCTGGATTGGAAGTGGAGTAGCTGGGTCTTGATCTAGCATGCATACAGGACTCTGGCATCTCAGCTGGCGGCTTAACCTGCTGTGCCACAACACTGGCCCCTGGACCTGTTTTCAAATCTGTAAAATGAGAACAATTAACTTGTGTCTTAAGATGACATGAGAATGGCCGGCGCCGCGGCTCACTAGGCTAATCCTCCGCCTTGCGGCGCCGGCACACCGGGTTCTAGTCCCAGTTGGGGCACCGAATTCTGTCCCGGTTGCCCCTCTTCCAGGCCAGCTCTCTGCTATGGCCCGGGAGTGCAGTGGAGGATGGCCCAAGTGCTTGGGCCCTGCACCCCATGGGAGACCAGGATAGGTACCTGGCTCCTGCCATCGGATCAGCATGGTGCGCCGGCCGCAGCGTGCTGGCCGCGGCGGCCATTGGAGGGTGAACCAACGGCAAGGGAAGACCTTTCTCTCTGTCTCTCTCTCTCTCACTGTCCATTCTGCCTGTCAAAAAAATAAAAAATAAATAAAAAAATAAAAAAAAATCTACTAAAAAAAAAGATGACATGAGATGGCCTATAAAGGATCTACTTAATGTCTGTTACAAAATTGAAATTGAGCAAATTTTGTAGTGTACACCATGTTCTGCCTACTCCAGCACCCTTGATGGTTCATTAGAAGAGACAAAGTATATAAGGGCACTTCAAAAGTTCATGGTAAATGGAATTAAAAGATGGACTTATTTTGGTATAGAATTTTTGAAATTCATGCATAGTTTTTTCTTTTTTTAAAAAAAAAGATTTATTTATTTATTTGCAAGTCAGAATTACACAGAGAGGAGACACACACACACACACACACACACACACACACACAGAGGTCTTCCATCCGCTGGCTCATTCCCCAATTGGCCGCAACAGCCGGAGCTGCGCCGATCGGAAGCCAGGAGCCAGGAGCCTCCTTGGTGACTCCCACATGGGCAGGGGCCCAAGGACTTGGGCCATCCTCTATGGCTTTCCCAGGCCATAGCAGGGAGCTGGATTGGAAGTGGAGCAGCCAGGTCTCAAACTGGTGTCCATATGGGATACTGGTGCTTCAGGCCAGGGCATTAACTGGCTACGCCACAGCACCAGCCCCTATACATAGTTTTTTCACAATATGCATTTACCATGAGTTTTGTGAAGACTCCTAGTGTGCACAGATTTCTATTTTATTTTGCACCAAAATAAACTTATATTTTAATTCCATTTTCCAGGAACTTTTTGAAGTTTGCTCGTATAACCAAGATGAGGGGGAGGGGGAAGGAGGCTGAGGAATAGGAGCGGAGAGTCAGTTCACATCAGTGAGTCACACCACGCAAGTCTTCTGGTTCTGATACTGATTTTTGTGTTAGCTTTTGGCACATGTGTTCTCCCTCCTCTTTTCTTCATAAATATCAACTTCTCTTGAGGTTAAACTTTGGGGGAAGACAAGCAAATGTGGGCTTCTCCCCTCAACCCTGTTTTGCCCAACTCACTATTGAGTCAAATCCAAGAGCTTGCAGAAACTAAGGTGACAAAAGGCAACCCGAAGCCTATTGGAGAGCAGAAGGAATCCAGTTTTTAAAAATTGACTTTAAAGGGAGAACAACAGAGAGAGGGGTAGAGACAGAGAGAGAGAGGGAGACAGAGCTTTTCCATCTGCTGGTTCATTTCCTGAATGGCTCAACAGCCAGGGCTGGGGCAGGCTGAAGACAGGAGCCAGGAATTCAGGCAGGTCTCCCATGTGGTCTCAAGTACTCAGGCTATGTCTTCTTCCCAGGCAAGTTAGCAGGGAGCGGGACCAGAAGCAGAGCAACTGGAGCTTGAACCAGCCCTGGGATGTGGACATCACAGGTGGCAGCTTAGCCCGCTGCACCACAATGCCAGCCTGAGAAAGCCAATTTAAGAAAACCAGTTTAAGTTAATGACGTCCGTCCGTTGGGTAGTCCATGATAGCACAGAAGAGTTGCCACTTAAAAGTCGGTCTCTCCAGGGGAGCAATGGGAGGGAAACTTCATTTCATTCTTCTAGTGGATGGGCCCTGGACAGAGGAGACCACGGGGGAAGCACACAGGGAGTTTTGTGTGGGGGAGAAGGTGAGCTTTGGGGCACTGGCCCATCACAAGCTGTTTGTCAAAGGATTTCAGTGGAGTTACCCCTGGCCTCCCGCCAAGGCCACTCAGCGTGGAAGGACACGGTTTCCCGGCTCCAGAGAGCAACTATGATCACTGAGAGGGAATGAAGCTTGACTGCTCAGAACAGAAGCAGCGATGGAGGCCTGGAGGGATTTTCCAGGCCCGTGGCCCTGGTCGCCGAGGTAGAACGGCTTCCTTTAGTCTCGCTCTGAGGCCAGATCACTCCTTCCTTCCCAGCAGCCTCTTTGACCTGCCTGGTGTCCTCCCACCTCCGAGTGACAGGACAGAGCCAGGACTCGCGGAATGTCCTAGGAATCCTCCCTTTAAGGAACAAGGGAGGCTGTGTGGCCCCAGCCATGTGGGAGTGCAAGGGTAAACCAAAGCAGAGCCGGCTGCGTGCACTTGAGAATATTCAGTTGATTCTCTCTGCCGACCTAGAGAAATCCACCTACAGAACGGTTGCTTCACAAGGAACGAAGAAAGGGATCAGGCGTCCTGAGGTCTAAGGCTGAGGCAGGATGAGGTTTACCTAGTAACCGATGATGCTGCACTAAGGCATTCAATGATTTGTCCTTGCGTCTTTCCCCGCCTACCTAGCCGATCTGGCAACTCGGTTTGGGACAGCGGACCCCTGAGCCCGTGGGAACAGGAGCTGGGTAGGGCCGACTCATTCATCTGACGGAGACCAAGGGACCTGGGGAGTGCCGTATTCTGCTGTGTGTCTGGTCATCGTCACCCAGGCTGGGGCTTTCGGGGCAGGAGAGGACCCCTGGCCCCTGGAAGAGCTGGTCCGGGAGACTGGGCTCCCCACGTCTTCACAGAGCATGAGCGCCCTTCTGCCGCTGCTGCTGGGCTTCAGCCTGGGCTGCACGGGAGCAGGTAAGCACTATTTCCTCCCGGCCCCTCTCTTCCCCGGCGTCTGCTTCGGCGCGGAGGGCGTTCCGTTTTGTTACTGGACTTGAACACCCGAGACTAGTTTGTCTCCCTGTTGTATATTCTCACAGCACTTTGCAACCTTTTTTGGTGCAATGTTAGTAGAACTTCAGCAGTGTAATGATTTGACTGATGGAGCTCCCCGCCTTGGCACGTAGCCAGGACGGTGCTCGTCTTGTTCACTGCTTGGTCCCTAGCTCCCGGCACAGCGCTGGCACTTTGTAAATGCGTGCGGGGTGAACTATTTCATGCGATTTCCAGCACTGAGCAAGGCTGGCACTGCCTGTTGGAGCCCTTTCCCCTTCTCAGCAACTTGGCTTGATAAAGGTCTGGGTTCTGGGTTAATTGTCCTGTTTAAACATGCAAATAATCCCGGACAATTTCTCTACCACACTGAGTCTCTCTCTCTTCAGAAGGAAACCAGTTCTAACAATTTCTCTGCCACTGCCACCTGTTTCCTTAGCCGAGGGTCTCAGAGACTGTGGCTTGTGAGCCGCATCAGTAAACCTGCTTGGGGCGGGAAATCTGTGCCAGATTCACCAGGTATAGCTGAGGCCTGGGTCGCCAGCTGCATACAGGAAAAACCAATGCTTTTCTCTTTTGTACGTTCTTGCTCAACACTTCTGCCACCAGATGTGGAAGCTTTTTTCCCCTGCTGCCTGATTCTCCTCTGTAGCTGGGTACCTGACAGTTCAATCCAATGATGACAAGAACTGGAGTTAACACAGGCCCCACAGGTGAAGGGCTGAATCCCAGGAGGCTGTTCTCACTTCAGACGCCAGTCACAAGCAGAAGCAGCCCACTTTTGTACAACTTGTTCCCAAGGTGGTCTTGGGGTCTGTCCCCATGACCCCCTCCTGGGGTTTGATAATTTGCTAGAGACATTCATAGAACCCTCCTCCCCACATAGTTTACTTACTATTGCTGATTTATTGCAAAGGCTATTTTTAAAGGACACAGATGAAGAGTCAGAGGAAGTGGTGCATAGGCAAGGTCTGGAGGGGTCACAGGTGCAAGATTCTGTCCCCACGGAGTCGGGGTGCACCACGCTCCCAGCACGTGCTCGTGGGCTGGGGTCTCCAAACTCAGTAGTTCAGGGGTGTTAGTGGAGGCTTCATTTCAGAAACACGACTGATATTCCCTCAATGTCCAGCCCTCTCCCCTTCCCGGAGAACAGAGAATCATGGAGTTGATTTTCCTGGTGACTAGCTCCCATCCAGGAGCTTACCAGGAGTCACCTCATTAGGATGGAAGAGGCGCCTGTCACCAGGGAATTCCAAGGGGCTGGGAGTTCTGTGTCTGAAACCCAGGTGAAAACAAAAACAGAAGACTAGAAAAAAGATGTGCTTAGCACCCTATCACTCAGGAAATTAGTAGGGTCTAGGAGCTCTGTGCGGAGACTAAATGTATGTTAACTTTGTATTTATTTATCTGAGAGAGAGAAAGAGAAAGAGAGAAAGAGAGAGAGAGAGAATTCCATCCCTGCTGGTTCACTCCCCCAAATGCATGCTTCAGTCAGGAACTCAATCCAGGTCTCCAACCAGGACTGGGTGACATATACCCAATACTTTGGTTATCATCTGCTGGTCCCTTGGTGTGCATGAATAGGAAGCTGGAGTTGAGAGCAGAGCCAGGATTCTAACCCAGGGTTTCTGATATGGATGTAGGCATCCCAAGCAGTAACTTAAATACTGTGTCGAACCCCTGTCCCCAAACTGGTATTTTTTATTATGTCGCTGACCTGCCCTCCCTTTTCTCACACCTCCAGGTGGCTTTGTGGCTCATGTGGAAAGTACTTGTTTGTTGGATGATGATGGGACTCCAAGGGATTTCACATATTGTATCTCCTTCAACAAGGATCTGCTAACCTGCTGGGATCCACAGGAGGGCCAACTAACCCCTGTTGAATTTGGGGTACTGAATCCCTTGGCCATAAGCATCTCAGAGTACCTTAACCACAGTGATACCCTGCTGCAGCGCCTGCACAATGGACTCAAGAACTGTGGCACACACACTCAGCCTTTCTGGACATCACTGACCCACAGAACACGTGAGGAGGGAGGGACGCAGAGGGGAGGTTGGGGAGCACATTTAGGAGAGGGGGGCAGGGGAAGAGTCCTCAGCAGGAGCAGGGTTGAGGTTTGGGCAGGCAAGAAAATGTGGGAAACTGGAATGTTGAAAGAGGAAGGGTTGAAGCTCAAGGGCACCCAGGTGGTGGAGGGAGACAGACCAGGAGTAAAGAGGAGGTGATGTGTGCACCTGTGAGAAGCTTCTGGGGAAAGAGTAGGCAGAGGCCAGAGCAGCCCAGGATGCAGATCCAGGTTCACTGAGCTCGTGTCAGAGGAGCCAAGTGGCTTTTCCCAGTGTCTGTGACTCTTTATCCCAGTTGCTGGTGTTCTGGATCTGGGTGGATCCAAGCATGGGAATGCTTGACATACCTTCTCTTTGATTCTGAATCCTTTGCACTGAGAATGGCTTGAGGTTTGTGAAAGCAAACTGGAAGCTCTCCGTGGGGAGAGCAGTGAGACTTCAGTCATGATTTCTGAACGGGGAGGGGCCTGTTAAAAATGTAAGCCCCTGGGCACCACTCCAGAGCCATTCAGTGAAAACATCGGGGGATACAGGCTGGAAAACCTGCATTTCCACATAATTTCCTGGAATCTTTATTTGAGATTTTGTTTGAAGTATACTAAGGTATTAATTAGAAGGATGGTCATCTAGGAGAATAAATTAGCAATCTCATTGATTTGGATGATTCTAATCACCAGTTTAATGGTTCTGAGTTAGGTTTGTTTCCTTAAACTATCCAAGGAGAAAAGGCTTTATTTAGCAAATTAATTTGTTAAACAAGAGCTGGGAAAATTTTTCCCTACCTTTACAAATCCCAATTTGTAACTATTAGCATAGGCATCCATATGGGATGCTGGCACTGCAAGCGGTGGCCTTACCTGTTATGCCACAGTGCTGGCCCCTAGCTTATACATTTTCAAGCTTAAGTATTTGACATAAATACAATAACTTTTTTTCTTTGAAACTTTATTTATTTATTTGAAAGGTAGATAGATGAGAGGGAGAGAGAGAGAGAGAGAAGGCAGGAAAGACATAGATTCTCATTTGCTGGTTCACTCCCCCAATACCTGCAGCAGCCAGGAATACCAGCCAGGGTGGGTCCTGGCCAAAGCCGGCAGCTGGAAACTCAATCTGGATCCCCGACATAGGTGGTGAGGACCAGCTACTTGAGCCATCACCTGCTGCCTCCCAGGGTCTGCATTAGCAGGAAGCTGGAATCAGGAGCAGAACCAGGACTCCAACTCAAGTACTCTCATATGGGATGTGTGCATCCCAAGCATGATGCCAAGTGCTCACCCCAGAAATAAATACAATGACTTCTGAAACAACTTGAAGTTTATATATGGCTTTTATGAATTGTGATCAAACATGATTTTGAAGGAGAAGAGAAATAAAAGGACAGTGAAGGAATGCAAAAGAGAAAGCGTTGAAACAGGAATAAATTCCAAGTTCTCACTTTCAAGTAATGACAGTCATGTGCATGCCGGGAAGTAGGTTGGCAGAATCAGTGAACAGTTGCAATAGAAGAGAAGTCAGGTTGGAGAAAAGGCCAAAAGGCCAGCTTCCTTCCTGATCATGTCTTTTTTTTTTTTCCTCCTGTGTAGGACCACCAACTGTACAAGTAGCCGAAACCACTCCTTTTAACACAAGGGAGCCCGTGATGCTGGCTTGCTATGTGTGGGGCTTCTACCCAGCAGATGTGACCATCACATGGATGAAGAACGGGCAACTTGTCATCCCTCATAGCAGTATGGAGAAGACTGCGCAGCCCAATGGAGACTGGACATACCAGACCCTCTCTCATTTAGCCCTCACTCCCTCTTACGGGGATACATACACCTGTGTGGTGGAGCACATTGGGGCACCTGAGCCCATCCTACAGAACTGGAGTAAGTGTGTGGGAGGAAGTAGAGTTAAAGCCGGTAGATACTGGAAGCTGGCGGATGAAACATCCCTGTGCATCAATATTTTGGCAGAGGGAATGAGATATGGATAACTTCCTGATAGAGAGGGAGATGCTGACCATGCAAAGTGAGTCTGGAGGAGTTGGGAGAGGGGAGTGATTTTTGAGCAGAGAAGGGGCAGTGAGATGAAGCCGTGAGAAGTTACTGTTTTTGTGTTGTGGCTGCTGTTGCTATGTCTGTGTTTGAGGGTGGGAGAGGAACATGATTGCCCCACAAAGAGGATGTAGATTTGGTAAGCTCATTTTCAGAACTCAGAGTTGTAATCTGCTATCCAGGCTCCTCAGATTTCCACTTTTCTATGGTCAGGGCAAGAATGAGAGATGAAGAAATCATGAAGGTTGAAGAAGAAGGGAGACTTTATCCTGGCATGGGGCAGTCCTGAATTTGGGTTGCTCTTTCAAGCACATTGGGGTAATAATACTGGATAGTAGATACGTGGCTGTGTGTGCTTGGGAGATAATAGGTAAGGAACTAATTATCACTGAACCCCAGGATTAAAGATTATGGGAGAAGTTATATATGGATGTGAGGATTCTTGGGAGAGAATTCTCCCAGTGAAAGAGGAAGAAATGAGGAAGAGGAAGGGTTTTGTCCACAAAGGACTAGGGCACAGTGTCCCAGACTCGGGAGTCACAGCTTCCTGGGCAGCTGGCCAGAGAACAGGGAACAGAGAAGAGATTGAAACTCTTATGTTCACTTGAGCTCTCCTGGGGGGAAAGGCTCCAATAAGGGTACACCAGGAGTCTCCCTTGGTGTTGGAGTGGGGCATGATTCAGATTAGGACCAGCTCTAGGAAGTTTGGGAGGGTGGTTGGCTAGAGATGAGTCCTGAAGATAAATGGGAAATGTTGATATAGAGGACACACAATAACTAGGATAAATCATGAAATGGAACCGATGGAGATCGGGAAACATGGAAAAACACTGTATAGGAAACTGCTCAACTGGAGCGAGTAAGGGGACAAACAAAACCAGTGGCAATGGAGAGGCGAGTGAGGAACCCCTTATCCCAGTGTGGATGCCCCTGGGAAAAGATGTCTTTTAAAAACCAGAGAATTGAAAAAAAACCAGAGATTTATTATTTATTTGAAAGAGTGAGAGGAAGAGAGAAGTTTTCCATCTGCTGGTTCACTCCCCAGCGGGCAGCAACAGCCAGAGCTGAGCCAGGTTGAAGCCAGGAGCTTCATCCAGGTCTCCGACATGGATGGCAGGGGTTCAAGCATCCTCTGCTGCAGGCAGCTGGATTGGAAGTGGAGCAGCCAGGACACGAACCAGTGCCTGTATGGGATGCCGGTGTTGCAGGCAGCAGCTTTTACCTGCTACGCCACAACACTGGCCCCAAGAAAGATGTCTGGAGATGCCTCACTTTAATAGAGAGGCACTGGAAGTTGGGGTGCTTGCTTCTCACAGTTGTTCTTGGTGTGGAGGTCCACAGGGTAGGAGTTTGAAGAAAGGTCATTTTCTTGGAGTGGGTTGGTGTGAACTAGACCCTTTGAGCTGGGGTAAAGGAGCTTTGAATCTTCTGTGTGGGATTGCAGCAAATTAAGTTTCTCTGAGAGTGAGCCACAGAGATTGGTCCTAGTAATTTTCTATTTTTTGCAGCACCTGGGCTGTCCCCCACGTTGACGGTGAAGGTTTCTGTGTCGGTAGTGACTCTGGGTGTGGGCTCCATTATCTTCTCCCTTGGTTTGATCTGCTGGCGGAAGTACGGCTTCTCTAGTGAGTGCCTGCTTGAACTCCTGGCCCCACTCCTGCTCCCAGTCTCTGCCCACCTTCTGTTGGTGGCTGACTGTCTCCTTCCTCCTCTGATTGCTCTGAATAATGCTAGACACTTTGATCCACAAAGACTGGTTTAATCAAGTGTGTTTCTCTCCTAGGCTACACTCCCCTCCCTGGGTCCAATTATCCGTAAGGTAACATCTCTTTTGGTCTCTTTGCCTGTGGGTCCTTTTGAGGGGGTGGAAGTAACAGGGTGGGGAGTCCATGTTGGGTTTGGTCAATGGTGCTTAATAGGAGTGAGCTTGCATGAAGATGTGGCCAAGGGCATGCTTTAAACTGCTGTTTTTGGGATTAGGCGACATCTTCCTCTTCTACTCAACAGGGTGTCTATGGACAGGGACTGAAGGAGATTTCTTTGTCTCAGCTGGTGACCTAAAATTCTTAATACGCAGAGAAGGTTGGGGGGCAGCTGATCTGAAGCCTCATTGACTCCTTTGTATTTCTTTTACAGGACGACACATTACCTAGAGGCAGACTTCTGTACATGCAAACTCCTGATGATGACACCGTGTCCACCCCCAAAATCGTCACACCTCCAAGTTTTCTTGGATTCCTGCCCCCCAAGTTCTTTGAGTGTACCAGCCCCACCTCCAATGTAAACCTTGCAGCTTGAGGAAACTAATTCCTGGGAATGTTTTGTAACCAACTTATCATCCAAAATTGTATTTCTTTGGTAAATGTAATCTGGAGAGGGAAGTTTAAGGCCCTCCTGGGTTCCCCTTGTGCCACAGAGAGTGATGAGTCACTGGTGATTGTCTCTGGGGAATAAACTCTGGTGCATATTTTATGCTTTGTATCTTTTTCCAGGAGTCCTGGGGGAGGAATCCTACAGAGCCAGGGCTGAGGTTGATTCTTTCTCACTTGAGTGGAGGAGTCAGTGCCTCCTCTCATTTTCCCATCTGGACATAGCAAAACTGGGGACCTTTTTTGGATTTGTCATTTATAAGCAGAAATTAAACTATGATTAGATGGAGTCATGGAGTGAGAAAGACGAAGGGAATCAATAGTTACTTCACCTTTAGGAAGTCTTATGAGTGTTCAGTGAGTTCCACTTGTCAATGGGGAAGACACATAACAGCAAGCCTGCAGTAGTGACACTAGCTAGGATCAGTTATTCAGCGTTCTGAGCCGGATGTTGGGGCCTGATGCCTTACTTTATTATTTTATTTGATCCTCTTCACAACTTTGAACCAGACTCTGAGGTAGTCAGGATTCAGAGTTTGCCTCCAGATTTGTGTTCTAGAAAGCTGTATCTTCCAAACCCTAGGGACATATTTTGAGTGCTTATCCTTTACTCAGCACTGGGCCAAATACTTTATGTTTGCGTCCTCTTCTTTTCTGTAAGGAACTGATTGTTCCCTGCGTGTCACAGATGAAGGAAGCAAGATCCAAGGTCCAAGAACAAATTCTCAGTAGGGTGTTTGACTACCTGGGTTGGAAATAAGTAGATTCCTTTGTTCTGAAGACCCTCATGCTGGTGATCACCCTCCTTAGAGGGCCACTCCCTGATTCTCTGGCATGCAAATCCCAAGAGGCACCCACTGCTGGGGAGTAGATTTCACACTGTAGAGAGAGGACACCATCTGACCCTGCTTGTTTTCCAGAGAGGGGAGACACCTGCTGGACACAGAAAGTTAGGTTGTGAAATCGTGGAATTAGAGTTGGGTACTTAACTACAGGCAAAGACAGAAAATAAATGAAGACAAGTGCTGCAGGAGCCTAACTGAACAGGACTGTGGAGAGAGAACAAAGGCTTTGGGTGTGGGTCTGTGTGGGAACACGGAAGGTCAGGGTCAGCTTCTGTTGAGCTGGGGGCAGGGGTCAGAAGACAGATTGTGTGTTGATCTTTGTGTGGGCTCCCATCCAAGGTAGCTGTGGGTGGGAAGGAGGGGTGGTCATCAGGGCTAGAATCCCCTGTCCCTAGACTGTTGCTGTATGGGTAGGGGTCTGGAGAAGGCAGGGGTAACCTTGTTCATGTAAACTTGATGCCTAAAGTAAGTGCTCATTGTTTGTCCAACCAATGAGTTGGTCTCCACCATATCCATGGCTTTTCTGGAAGGATCCCTGTGATTAGGGAATCCCTTCTGGGAAGAATTTACAGGAGCAATCCCAGAGACATTGTTCATGAATTCAAATGGCTGTTCTCTGGGCAAGCCCATAGATGACAGGAAGAAGCATACTGTGTGTTAGGGAAACTAGTTGATAAATGTAGGATCAGAAATTAATGGCTACATTTTTTTTTACCAGTTTTATATTTCATTTTCATTCCCTGTGCTTGTGTTTGGATTTGCATGTTTGACAATGCACATTTCTTTTGAAAGTCCAGTCAGGTCTGAGCATGGGGCTTCTGGTCTACACCTGGGCAGTTTTGAAGGGGAATCCTCACATCTGAAGGGCTGGATCTCATCATAGCAGTGGGGATCAAGGGGACAGGAACCCAGGGGAAGAAGGAGAGAGTCAGGTGACGGAGCCGTTTCCAGTTCTCACTCTGGAGATTGCCCGTGTTGGCTTTTCTCTGCTCTAACTTTGTAGATTCTTTTGTTTTATAGGGAAAGCTGTCCCCTTCCAGGCAAGGAACAGGAAAAAGTGCTATAGGGTGTCCCAGAATCCTGGGAGCCAGATTAGTATGGATAGAAAAGAGAGCACATTTGTCATTACACAAAGCGCCAGGGTGCCTGGAAGAAAGATATGAAAGCGGTCATGGGGGATGGCCTCCAGGAGAGGGGACTGAGAAGCAGGTTGGAGAGCCAGAAAGGTAGGAGGAAGGGAAGGAGAGCGGAGGGAGGGCGAACATGGGGCTGAGACACAGACACATACACACACACACACACACACCCCTAATACAAGCAGCACAATGAGTTGTTCTCTCCTTCAATATCTTGTTTGTTTTAAGAGCTGAACTTGAGCTGGAATTGACTTTCAAGATCAAGTCCAACTCTGTCCGATAAAAGAACTGAGTCTGTGTCCATGAGGCAAGCACATTGCGGGACTCCCTCCAATCTTTAGGACAGCTCTGAATATTTTAGAGCAATGTGTTGACCTCAGGTTTGAGGTTTTCCTTTGGAACATTAAAGGCTATGGGAATAAAACCCAAATACACAATGGGAGAGTGAAGCTTTGGTGTTCTTTTATTTTTATTTATTTTTATTTTTTGACAGGCAGAGTGGACAGTGAGAAAGAAAGAGAGACAGAGAGAAAGGTCTTCCTTTCCTGTTGGTTCACCTTCCAATGGTTGCCGCGGCCGGCACGCTGCGGCTGGTGCACCGTGCTGATCCGATGGCAGGAGCCAGGTACTTATCCTGGTCTCCCATGGGGTGCAAGGCCCAAGTACTTGGCCATCCTCCACTGCACTCCCTGGCCACAGCAGAGAGCTGGCCTGGAAGAGGGGCAGCTGGGACAGAATCCGGCGCCCGGACCGGGACTAGAACCTGGTGTGCCAGCACCACTAGGCGGAGGATTAGCCTAGTGAGCCGCGGCGCCGGCCTGTTTTTTTTTTTTTTTTTTTTAAGATTTATTTTATTTATTTTGAAAGACAGAGTTACAGAGAGAAGTAGAGGCTGAGAGAGAGGTCTTCAATCTGCTGGTTCACTCCCCAGATGACCGCAATGGCTGGAGCTGCACTGATTCGAAGCCAGGAGCCAGGAGCTTCTTCCGGGTCTTCCATGTGGGTGCAGGGGCCCAAGGACTTGGGCCATCTTCCACTGCTTTCCCAGGCCACAGCAGAGAGCTGGATTGGAAGAGGAGCAGCTGGGACTAGAACCGGTGCCCATATGGGATGCCGGTGCTTCAGGCCAAGGCTTTAATACACTGTGCCACAGCACCGGCCCCTGGTATTCTTTTCTGAAGTAGAGAACACCCCTAGCTCCAAGTTCTCTTCGACTCTACCCATGCTCACATTTATGTGAAAGGAGCAGAAAAAAATTGACATTTAATCTCAATGACTTCTTGTAAAAATTCCTTTTATGCTGTTTTCCCAAGCAATTCTGTTTCCAAAGTAAAATTGGTCAAATCAATGACAGTTGAGGGTAGAGTTCAACCCCCTTTCCACTCTGCTTTTGGTTGGAAAGCATTCCATTCCCAAGAGCCCTCAAGCTGCCTTGAAGCAAGGCATGAGGGTTTTGTTCTTGCTACTTCCTGCAACTCCTTGACCAGAGCTGTCCCCAAGAGCTGCAGGAAGAGGAGAGGACCTGAGTTCGTACATTTTCCTTCCAGAAGGGGAGCTTACTGGCTCTGAATACCCTTCCTCTTCCATTGCAAGTGAGGCTTCCATGAGCACCTGGCCAGGCTGGTCTGGAGCAGGGAAAGAAGAAATGACTTTCATTGAATCAGGGTCTCAACAGAAAGCAGGTGGCAAACTTAAAATAGGGGAGTTCAAGGATTTGACTGCAAAGAAGTAGGTGGAGAATAGCACAGCAAGCTGGAGTCAGCAGCAGCTGAATTCTTACTATGCAGAGGCCAGGGACAGGAAGGGTTACTGGAATTCAGCAGAGTGAGTCCTGGGGAGTCACCACCCTGCCAGGAGCAATGCCCTTCAGCCCAGGGACACAGCTAGCTCAAGGTGACTCGGCGAGGAGACAGCCTAGAGAATGGACACTCTGACCTCACTCTCCTCTGTTCTCAAACTGAGACTTCAGAAGGTGGAGCCTGTCGATGTCCTGTAGGTCAGCGCCCTGGGCAGCCAGCAGGAAGTGTGGAGGCTGGGTCTGGAAGGACAGATGGAGGACAGTTGGTTCATCACAGCACAAAGGAAAGAAGGCAATGCTGGCGGTGGGAAGAGAGCTACAAAACTTGGGCTTGCTTGGTTTGGATGGCAGCCAAGACTTAGAAGCAAGAGAAGATTAAGTTTGTAGTTTCTTGCTGGAGGACCCAGGAGAACACTCCTTTCTGGTTCTTCCTGCTCCACCTCCAACAGTTGGGTAACTCTTTGTAGATCTCTATTTTTTTTCATTCATCTTTTACAGTAAGTTTATTGAGTCCCTCCAAGATGAACTTGAATTTTGTTTCAGGTTATGTTGAATTTATAGAACAATTTTTTAAAAAAGATTCATTTATGTATTTGAAAGCCAGAGTTACAGAGAGGCAGAGGCAGAGAGAGAGTGGGATAGAGAGAGAGAGAGAGAGGTCTTCCATCTGCTGGCTCACTCCCCAGATGGCTGCAATGGCCAGATTTGCGTTGATCCAAAGCCAGGAGCCAGAAGCCTCCTCTGGGTTTCCCACAGGGGTGCAGGGGCCCAAGGTCTTGGACCATCTTCTACTGCTGTCCCAGGCCATAGCAGAGTGCTGGATCAGAAGTGGAGCAGCCGGGACTCAAACCAGTGCCTAAATGAGATGCCGGCACTGCAGGTGGTGGCTTTACCCACTACACCACAGCATTGGCCCCTTGACTTCTTTTTAATATTTATTCATCCTATGTAAAAGTAGAGGGAATTTTCCCATTTATTCAAATTGTCCTATTCACTCTTTTTATGGTTTTTGAAATTCACTTTTTCATAGTGGTCTTTTGTGTGTCCAGTTAACTCAGAAATTTTGAAGCTTTTGCTGCTGTTGTGATTGGTATCTCATTGTGATTTTATTTTCATGTCAATTTTTCTGGCATAGAGAAATGTAAACAATTTTTTAGAAAATTGTGGTTAAAAATGTGTAACATAAAACTTGCCATCTTACCCATTTTAAATGTATAGTTGAGTAGTGTTAAATATCTTCACACTGTTCTGCAACCAATCTCCAAAATTTTTTTCATCTAGTAAAACCAGAGCTTTGTATCCATTACATAGCAACCATTTCTTC